AGAGATAGACGAGAGAGTGATGTGAGAGAGAGGTGGAGAGCGAGAGAGAGAGAGAGAGAGAGAGAGAGAGAGAGAGAGAGAGAGAGAGAGAGACAAGGAGAGAGAGAGAGAGAGAGAAGAAAGAGAGAGAGAGCGAGAGAGGAGAGAGGAGAGAGAGGAGAGAGAGAGAGAGGAGAGAAAGAAGGTCGAAGAGAGGAAGAGAGAGAGAAAAGAAGTTGGAGTAAAATGGGTAGGAGAAAAGAGAGAGAGAGGAGGGAGAGAGCATGAGAGGAGGCAGAGAGAGGAGAGATCTTAGGGGAGGAGGATCAGCAGAGAGAGAGACTAGCATGATGACCGGGGAGAGAAGCGAGAGGGGGAGAGCAAGGGGGAGAGAGGTGAGGAGGGATGAGAGGGAGAGAGGTTGGAATGAGGGAGTTGTAGGAGAAGGCGTATTGGAAAGGAGAGAGAGAGAGAGAGTAGAGAGAGAGGAGGAGGAGAGAGAAGTAGAAAGGAGAGAGAGAGAAGAGAGAGAGAGAAGCAGAGAGAGAGAGAGAGAGAGAGAGAGAGAGAGAGAGAGAGAGAGAGAGATAGAGAGATATCAAAATATCTCATATGCAATCTCTCCTCATATACTGATCTATAAATCATGACTGCCACAGCCCCAGATATTGCTTGTCTAAATCTTTAGTAAAATGCGTAGCCACACACGTGAGACTCAGGGGATAAACGTATAAATATATTTTAAAGAATTGTACTATATATTTAGTCAACTTTAAGGATACGGTTATTTATAAATGGTGTTACAAGTTAAGTACCACTTTAGTTCATTAATTCTCACTTTATTCTAAGATGCAAATAATATATTGCGCCTGTTATCCTCAGCCAAACACACGTGAAGACCAAAAACACTTGAGCACGAGCTGACACCGCGATCACCTGCGTTATTTCATAGGCGTTTCTCATTAAAGTCTTGAAGTGTTCTTCATAAGACTTCATCCAGCCAAGAAGAAGAGAGCAGATGGGGATTCAAGACAGGGATTATTAAGTTGATTATGAGTTCTAGTAAACGCCAGAGTCGCGAGAAGAAAGAGACAACTTCACTCTTCGGGGAACCTGGTGAGTCGTAGTTTTGCGAATTTGCGAAGTGATAATGTGACGCTTTTAAAGTTCCAGGATTTAGAACTTCAGCGTTAATGTCGGAAGCTTTTATTGATATTGTTCAAAGTTGTCATCTATTGGATTATTTTTGTGTGAAAGGTTAGTCTACGGTCGTTTAGTGCTTGTGTGAGATTGTATTTTAGTTTGGATTGCATGGACGTGCTGTGATTTCCCAACTTCGAAATTGGGCAAAGGCCAATAAACCTCACCCACAAGATGTAGTTAGTCAAATGTTATATTGCCAGGAATATATTCAAGATTTGGTGCTAAAATGTTCATGTTGGACGTTTTGTGTTTTTAGTATGAAATGCAAAACATCACTGGTCATTGTGGTGTGAGCGAGTGGGCTACCTTTTAGTTTTTGATTGATTATTGTTTAAAATCTATTTTGTTTTAATCATGGCCATTGCCATGACTATATTTTCAGTAGTAATAGGAAATCATTTGTGTAGTAGTATTGGGCAAGAAAACATAGCTATGTACATACACATTATTTGGATGTATATCCAAGTGGGTGCAGCTGATACTAACAACATGAATATGAACTGCTAATGATGGATGCTGTCTACTTAGAGTAGGCTTTAGTCTGTGGATCAGTATTGGTCATGATAACCAAAGAGGATTTAACATTTATCAGGGAAATTAGAGTTAATTATAGAAAACAATCTTATGGCAATATTTAATCACTGTTATCAAGCACATAAAAAGGCATATGCAATAATCCTTGGCCAGAGGCTCCATGAGAGCTGGTGATTTTAGTGGCACAGCATTAAGTTGTGAGAATGTCAACAGGTGTCAAAGCAGCAGTACTAGATGTTGCACCACTCCAATTACTGCCAATATTATCATCAGTTGTTGGAGTTAACTAAACTATACAGGGTCAGTACATATCATGAGCATTTCACTAAAATGAGAATAAGTATCAGTAATGCAGTAGTTATAGTATGATTTACCATAAAAATTAACAACTAAGGGAAAAAGTCAAATATGTAAATAAATAGCTCCCAGGCTTTTGAAATGAAATTTAACATTTGGGATGTTACATTGTTTTATAAATATCACCAACCTATTCTATTTTATGTATTAGGTAATTGCTTCTGTAAATAAAATGCATTTGAAGTTATAGATAAGTATTACACTCTTCTCAAGTCTCCAGCACCATTAAACACATTTGAATGCCAGTTTATTATAAATTTACCCTGATAAGGAATCTATAGCTCTCTCTAGTGATATATCAGGTGTGAGAAAAAGTATTGATTGTGGAAGCTGTTAAGAACACACTTTGATTTTTGAAAATTAACAGGTAACCAAAGTTTTTTTTTTTTTTTTTTTATGTGGGCCTTATCATAGTCATGGTACTCTTATACCTCTGATGTATAGATGTGTAATTACATCCATCAGCTATACAGTCACCTCTGTCATCTCCTTTATATGTAATATTATCAGTTTTGCAAGCAGCCAATTATGGGGTTCATCACAGTTGCAAGAAGTGTTAATATAGATTAAAGGACTTTGATCCTCCAGCAAATGCGCAGAAAGCATCCTAATGATACAAAGTCTGTCTAGAGCCTGGACTATCCCTCAGAAGTGGAAGGTGAAAAGATTACAGTTTGTTTTATCTACGTTCCAGCTTTAATTTTTTGTATATTTTTCTCTCTATTGTTTGTGTGGCTGTAGTTGGTTATTTTGTTGAACTTTAGATATTTACTCAAGAGATTTGTGTTGAAATTTATATTCTTAGTTTATCTGGAAGTTTTCTGTATCATGCAAATATATCATGCAAATATATTTAAGCTCTATTGTTTGTGTGGCTGTAGTTGGTTATTTTGTTGAACTTTAGATATTTACTCAAGAGATTTGTGTTGAAATTTATATTCTTAGTTTATCTGGAAGTTTTCTGTATCATGCAAATATATCATGCAAATATATTTAAGCTTGGTCACCAAATAATTTTGTGTGAAATTACCAAGTTTAACAGAAACTGGAAAGTCATTTATTTGTAAGGGTTGTCATGCAAAGGTAAACATTTTTGTTTCATTTTATATGAAAAACATAATTTAAGTCGCTAATACACTTTACAGTCTTTCATATCTGGTTGTTTTGGTTATTTATAAAAGATAATATACACATAAACAGACATTTGATTAAAGTATTTCCATTTTTATTTTTGGGCAGTGATAAACTTCTGATTTGGAAACTGTTACATGTTAGCAAAGAACAAAGGAAAATTGCCATTTGTATTTAATCATAAGAGTATAATTCAGTGTTGTTACATAATACCTTAGATTAAATATTTATTAAAAACATTTTCATTGATTAATGTTTCAAGATGAAAAATGTAATATCCGGACTGTCAGTGTATTATTATTTTTGAAATTTGTTTATATATTCCATAGTAATATTTACTTATGGAAATTGATTCATAGTGAAGTTCAAATTTTATGAACAGTACTAAATTATCTGTTTATATTTGCCACATTTAAAAATGAAAATAACATCTAATTATATATGCAGTATAGGTATTACCCTACCAATACATGATTTTATGAATATTTTTATTTTATCTGATTGTTTATTTTTAACAACATAGAAAGGGTTATGATTATTACCCTGGGGATCTTGAGATTGACAGTGCAAGATTCTTCATCTATGTAAGGGTACATCATAATTCAAAGTGATTGCTTAGTGATTCAAACCCTTTCTGTCAACAGATTTGGATGAAACACTTTTGTCCTCAACTGTAAGGCAGTGATGGAAGGTGGTACTTTAACCCCATCTGCAAACCTACCCCAGAGGAAGAACTATCATGGCTGCCAACCTCAGGGACAGCACTGGATGACTCCCGAGATATCTGCCCAGTTGCAGGTTTGCAACCAGCTACGCAAAGCATCAGAAGCAACTAATAAACCCGAAGATCATGAGGCATACCAAGCACAATGTAGAAAAGTGCACAGTATGATGGAGGAAAGCAAGGCCAGTCTTGGTTTAGGCCACTTACCTGCACTTCCTTCTCAGTATGGTTATGGATGGCAGAATGATCATGGGTACAATGGCTATCAGCCCAGAGGCCCAATGGGAAATTCAAACTTCCAGCAAGGTTCTGGAAAATACTTTCAGGGAAATAACAGGAAGCCCATCACTTGTGGACCTTGCAATCGAACATTTTACAATAAACAGAAACTTGAAGAACACCTTAAAGATCATGTTGAATGCCCATTTCCTGAGTGCAAACTCAGTGCACATATCAAGGTTATTGACCAACACATAAATAACCAACATATGCTTGTCAACTTTGCTTCTTTACAAATTGATGATGAGACGTGGATTGCAGAGAGAAAGAAACGCTTTCCAAGTATTCAGAGAGCAGAAATACGAAGAGCAGAACAAATAGAAAAACTGAAGAGGGGAGAGAAGCTGGGTGTAAGTAAAAAACCTTTTAAGAATAAAATCAAAAGTATTACAAGTAAGAATGAAAATGATACAGCAGGGGAGAACACCAATAGTGCTAGTAATGCAACTACAGGTGTTAAACGAGAGCAGGCACAGAGTGAGAGAGGTAAAGACGAAGGCAAACGTAAAGGGAAATTCAGAAGGAAAAGACAAGAACAGGAAGCATTAAACAGGCTACCTCAGGCAGTCATGAAAGTAGACCTTTTAGATTCGGATGATGAGACAAGGGATGGTGTGCGTGCCTTCAGAGGAACCAAATGCTTTTATGAAGAATTAGGAGAAGTCAGTTACTTTGGAAACAAGAGCATAAATGTTGATAAAGAGGACACTGCAGAGCAAGAGGAGAATATTTGCATAAGTGATGATGAGGACTGGCAGGATGAAGATAATAAGGCAGCAGATGATAAAGGACAACTTATTTTAGGAGGTGCTCTGGGATCTTTAATGGGTGCTTACTCAGACTCAGAGGATGAAAGTACTGATGAAGCAGTTACTAGTCAAGAAAAAGTTAACCCACAGTCTGTGCCAAAGAAAAATGATGAAGGTTCCTCTGCAAACGATAAAGCAGATGCCTCTATTGAAGTTACAAAGAGCCAAGATAAGTCTGGTGATACTGCAGGGACCCAAGATATGTTAGTTGAGGTTCCAAAACAAGAATCTTCTGTCAGTGCTGAAGTGAAGCAAGATACAGAACAAAGTAAAGAATCTACAAACAGAACGAGAAATAGAAAGATGCAACGCAAAAAAACACCAAAAGGACCTCCCAAACCTCGCAAAATGCCACGAAGACGCAAGACTCTTCTGGAAAAACTTCTGCAAGCAGATATTATACATGAAAGGAATGTAATTCTACAGTGTGTACGATTTGTTGTAAAGAATAACTTTTTGGATGGTAAAAATAGTGTTATTGATAAGAAAATAAAAGATTGTATTAAAGCAGAAAAGGACACTGGAGAATCCACTGCAAATGAAGCGAAGAAATCTGACATAGTACAGCCACCAAAAAAAGACAATAGCTCACAAATTGGTAACATATCAGTGCTTACAGACAAAGGCAACCAGGCAGATTTAGGACCTCAGATAACTAGTGAAAACAGCAAAACTGTTAAAGTCATAAAGAATAAATGTGATAGTAATAAAGAAGCAGCTAGGAGGTTGAAAAAGCAACTATTAGAAGATGATGTAGCTCATAGTAATGATGCTCCCAAAAGGAGAAAAAGTGATACTGAAGAACTTTCAAATTGTGAGGAAACTAAAGATGAAGTACAAGTTAAGAGAATGAAGTTGAGTGAAGAGGAAAAGTCAGCGGGTGCATTTAATGAGGATACTATCATCAATGGAGATAAAATCGATGAGAAGAAAGAAAGTGCAGCCGTAGAAACAGATAGCAAAAGTGAATCACAGAGTGAAAACAATGTTGAGTCAATGGAATGTGAGAATGCACCAGAAAAATTAACTGACAAGGTACAAGAAGGCTTATTAGAAGCTAAGAGAATGAAGTTAAGTAACGAGGAAAAGTCCGTGGGTATGTTTAATGAGGATACTACCATCAGTGGAGAGAAAGATGGCAAGAAGAAAGAAAGTGAAGTAAATAAAACAGATGGTAAAAGTGATGACATGAAAGAAAGTAAGGCAGAAATTGCAAATCATAAAGAGGAAAAGGAAGAGGTAGAAATGTTAGAGAATAACATTACAGATTCACAGACTGAAAACAATGTGTAGTCAGTGGAATGTCAGAAGGTATTAGGAAAATTAACTTACAAAGTACTGGAAGGCATATCTTGAACTGTCTCAGACAATGATTATAGCCAGCATTATCATACTAGAATGGAAAATTAAGAAAAATACCTTTAATGTGGTATGAGATACTATTAGAAGAATATTTAATGAATTTTATTGTCTTTAATGTACTATATTGTATTATTTCTTTATGAAGAAATGTGAAATCAGATGTATTCAGTTTTTTTCAAGCTTTTGTGTTTAAAACTTCGCAGGTTAAAAATAGCTGAAGACATTTTTTTTGTGATTCATCACAGATACCTTAGAGTGACTTGTTCTGTTTGAAAGAAAAATCCTTTAATAGCCTTTTTATATGTGTATATTCAGTATGTTATGAAACCAACTCATTTATGTTGAATAAACCTTTAAAAAAAGTATTTCATTTATATTTCCCCTTCCCTTTTCTCAGTGATCAAACTAAACAGGGAACAGAAAATGTTAGTAAAATGGTGACTAATATTAAAAAGAACTAAAACATTGGGATTTACTACTTACTCTTAAACTCATGTTAGGAGTTACTCTGGGAGGTCATTATGAGAGTGTAGAAAAAATTTACAGATTAATTTGATATGCTAGCAATAATTTATCTTTAATATTACTGCATTTTTGTGTTTAGTAAAAGTTCTGATGTCCTTTCCAGCTTGTTAAAAAAAAATCCCTTTTCTCATTTACAAAAATCTATATACATACAAAATAATCATAAGTAAATAAAAGATAGAACAGTAAATGGAACCAATAAATTGAAGAGCAATTTACCGCCAATATAATGATTCCTTTCTCTTGGCAGTGACCTTGAGTGTCAGAAAGGAAGAAGCACTTAGTTTTGAAAGAGAGAGGTGAAACAAAAATAAGAATTTAGTAAACCACATTAAAAGACCAGGCCAAAGTTACCTGAAAATTACTATGAAGAAATACTGAACATAAGTGAATAGTACATTAAAGAATGAAAAAGTAAAATATACATGGAACAAAAAAATACGAGTACTGAAAGCATAAACCTCTTGTTTTAAACTGAAATGACTGGTCACAGCTTTCATGTACGGAATGGGATCCTTATAGGAACTTGGATTCAGTTTAGAAATAAGTAGTTACTGCACTTTAAAATTTTTATATTTAGATCTGATTTTCAGCAAAGGACAATTACAATACAATATTTTTTATTTTCTTTTTGTACAGATGTAGCAACTTTACCGAGAAATGACCGAGCAGGATACAACAAACGGGAAATAATATCCTCCATTATAAGAAATGCTTGGTCAGCAGCTCAGAAATGGACGATAGCAAGAAAAGCCGGAGGATTAGAACTCAAAAAAGTGGCTGATGCAGTTGTTAGTGCTCGTGGCGAAGATGAACTGAAACCAGAGATTCACAATGCTGCTTTACAGCTCAAGTCTTCAGTTAGCAAAATGGTAATGAGTTTTGTTTAATGAAACATTCATTGAAAAATCTACATACTGTGTATTCATATAATGGAATAGTTTCTTTTGATTTGATTTTTTAAAAATTGAATTAAAAAAAGTTTTATGTACTCATTAGTTTACTATATTCATTTGATACTTTTCCCCTGCTAGCAACAATGTGTTAGGATACTGGATGACTTGCTAGAAGAGATGAAGAAGCTACAGAAGTTATACTGTAAAGATGGCGATTATCCACTTTTTTCAACCCTCACACTTGAACAGATGGGTAAGACCTATAAATAGATGCATAGATAAATAAAATGCATGCATAACCACACATACACTCGCAGCATGTCACATCTCACACCTAAAACCAGTATCCTTTTATCCTAAGCCATGCTGGACTACAGAAATTTTCCGCACTGCAAAATGCCCAAACCTCACACATAAATCTGTAATTTGTGTATTTTTTTTACTCTAAACTTACATGTTAATCACTTGGTTACAGGTAGGTTAAATAGCTAATGAAATATCACAGGAACACTACACATTACCTATAAACACAGCAAACTCTACAAGGAATAGATTTAATCAAACACCATACCAAACCACAATTTCTAATGGTTAGCAACACTAGCTATTAGCAGCTGTTGGGCAGATTTGAATTATACTGTAAAAGTAGAGTTTCAAAGCAAAAGAATTCAGTGTAAAAAGATATCCCATTTGTATATATACTTATGTGCATGTGTGTATATAACTGATGATGATCATAGTCCTACATTGAAATTAGTTATAACTGACTTTTTAATAGTTAGCATGGAAGATGACTGCATGAGGCAAACCAGTTGTATATATTGAGGCTTTTTATGTACTTGTATAAAGAACATATTTATTGTACCATTACTTACTGTAAGCAGTACAAATTCAAGGTCTAATGTAATAAGGTTTACATCAAGCTATAATTCATCTACATATGTTAGCAATCTATTACAGAATATATATATATTTTTTTTTATCCTCCTCCAATTTCTCAGATTTATGATTGTGTTTAATTTCAGTGTCTGTGCTTGAAAGTGTGTGCGAAGACTACAGAAAAGAAACAGAGCTGAAGGCAGGAGTGTGCACTCCATTACCCTTCACAAATTCACGTGACACACTCAGCACGGTCATCACGCTTTGGTCACATCATGCTCACGTTGTTACCCATCAGTACCCCCTTAAACTTCTGCTCAGGGAGACTCAGCAGTTGTGATACTGTGATTTGCTCAACAAACAATTAACTCTAAAAGAAAGAAGTCTGTTTCTGAAGGGAATATACTCTAGTTGAATATTGTATTTATTTAGTGCTATTGCCAATCTCATTTATACATATTATCAATGCCATAATCACACAATAATTCTTATAGTCTACTGACCTTAAAACATTTTTTTGATAATAGTCTCACCAAACAATTTTGATATTTATAATTGCATAATCCGTAATTAGATAAAGAGTACTTCAGATGTTTTAGCTCTTAATCTTTTATAATGAATGAAATGATATGATGATAGTTTTAATTTAAAATAGTGTCATTTGATTCTGTTATCATTGTGCATGAATTTGACACAAATGTAAAATATTGTTTTTGATGCAGGGGTAGTAAGATCATCAGAAAATAAGTCTATTAAAATACATATATTTATTTAAAAAATATATATAACAAAATACAAAACTATTACAAATAGTAATACACAGGACTAGAGTATGGAATAAAAACTTAAAATGTAATTCCTTTTTTTTATTCACCTTATATGATCACTACGATAATTTTGGACACTTTTCAGGCACCTCCTCATCACTGTCAGATAACTCTTGAAAATCTTGAGGTATATACATCTCAAATTTAATCTTGTCATAACTGATGGTTTCAAACCTACTTTTCACATTTGTATTTCTAATATTAGATAACTCTCTATCAGCATCTAGCTCCCATGCTTTTTTGCACAAGCCTTTGCGGAAAACCATACCATGGAAGTGTGTTAGCTTTTCATATTTTACCCTAGAAAAGCCAAGAAAACCTAGGGTAATTTTCCATAATTTATAAAGGTGTACATTTGCATTCTGGTGTTTACTATCAGGAGTTATAATGCACAGAAGACCGTTAGGCTTGAGGAGATTATAAGCTTTTTCGCAACAGAGAAATCTTTGTTTGGGTGATGGTATGTACTCAAGTAGGAGGCAAAACACCACAACGTCAAAAAACCCTTTCCTTAAAAACCTAATACTGTTACTTTGATCACTTTTCTTGTTCATTTCCTCACACTCTTTTTCTTTCACATCTGCATCACTTTCACCCTTACTAATACTTGTTACATTTTCAGCTGTGTCCAAGTCTGTGTCTATTTTCTCATTTGACTTACTGTTTGGGGTGCTTTTCTGTTCCTTTTCTACAAAGTTTATCACCTCATCAACGTCATTTTTAGCAATCTCCGAAGCTGTTGTTTCTACAGCCTCCAATGAAGACTCACTCTCACTATTTTCCTTTGAATTCTTCTTTCCCTTATCTTTTACTGGTGTTGCCTCCTCGGCTATTTCCACATCAAGAAAATCACATTGTTTAACGGACTGGAAGTCAAATAAATAGAGAAGTTTAGAAAAGTGTTTTTTATCCTATCTATACTATAATTCTATTCATTCTATATAATATACAATATAGATATATAAACATATATTAATTCTGTGCCATAAATACTTACTGGCTGGGCTGGATACAAGTCAATTGCAGTTACTTCATAATGTTCATATACAGAGAAGGGGTTATAGCAGCTGCCAACATCCAACAGCTGCAATTTATTATACTCTCTGTAAAATAAAAATAGAAATTTTATTTTTTATGAAAATCACCATCACTCGGTGTAAGATATTAAACATGAGGAAAAGCTAATATACAATCTACAGAGTATTTTCCAATTCCATGCAAAATAGAGAAGTTTAAAAGTAATATATTACTTCTGAAGACAACCATCTGAAGTATCACATTCCATTTCTAATCCCAGGTGTGTCAATTTACGGAGTTCTTTTTGAGTTACACGAGTCATTTCTCCTTTTTGATAATACTGTATTACAGCATTGTTAACCCATGTAACACGTGAAGTATTGACCTGCTGAGAAAAGTGGATTGGGATAATTAAGACTAGAAAATTTTAAAGACACACAAAAATATGATTTATCTTACATATCAAATATATAAAAAGAAAAAATAAATGATCATAAGAAACTTCTCTCAATACACCATCTAATTACTTGTGTAGATTCCCAGTGGTTGGTGGCAAGCCTATGCATTGCGCTTGCATAAGTACGTAACACATCTTCATGCTGGATGTGATCCTTCCAAACTTCATCTTCATCTTCACCTGGAAACATGTAAATAACTTTAATTTATTCACTATAGTATGAAATAACTGTGAAACCATGTTATTTTACATACTTAGCTCTCCCTCCAGAAAGTAAACCATTTGGGCTTACATAGATGAAGGTCTAAAAAAAAACATTTCAGAGGTTTTAATATTGTATTATTGTTAAGCCCCTTCAGTATAAGAATATGTGGTATGCACATTTTTAAAGGAGTAATAATTACCTACAACTAAAAGGAAAAGAAAAGAAAAAATCCTTTGCTAATATGGATTTCTTTGTATATACAAAACATGAATTTAAATTATTTTATAAGATATCCTTTAACTTATCAGTCTGAGTAGGCAACATTTCATTGGAATAACATTCTTCAATCACAAGAAAAAACAATATGCTGTTGACAGCAGGTAAAATCTACTTATTTTGATACTATTGTGTCTCTCAAAATGTGCATTTGTCCTAAATTTTTAAAGAAATAATGGCTTGATACGACCTCCCTATTATGCACAAATAACTTACAATCAACCAGATTACTTTCCTTCAGAAATTCATAACCTTGTTTGAATGAGCTTTGGTGGCCACAAGGCCACCATACGTTCAATATATCCTAGTCACAGGTGGCTGACATGCCCTCTAGAATATATTATTTGCTCAAGAGAATTATGAACAGAATAATGTTGGGCATAATATTTATCAGTTACGAAATCATTCAATAATCTGTGTTAATGGCAATCATGCAAATCACAAATATGACTACTGTATTCTAGATTTTCTCATTCTTTCTAAAAGAAAACCACTAGTTTTCTTAATCATTTTGGAAGAAAAACACTAACTGCCAACTGTGATGAAACACACTAACAAGAATTCCAAACTAACACAATATGGTCCTAATTCACAGTGTCATGCCGTGATGTTTCGAGGCAGAACTGGTAAGCATCTAAAGGCAAAAAATCATAGCAATTACTCATTAATATCCCCTGCGCTCTCCCGCAAAGCCCAAATACCCCCACGGTGTTCCCCTGGGAGGATATCCTTTCAGCTCTTCCATACCACAGCAATTGACCTTCTAAATCCCACATAACTCGCTCGACCTCCCGTCCTCCTTTTCGAACCCCGAAAATTTACCCTGTCTGCACCGCTTCCTGAGCCTTTTGTGCGTCCCTTTGACAATCTCGGCGAGCCTCTTGCCTTCGACGTCCATCTCGTCTCGACGTGTTTGGACTCACAATTCTCACGGGGCCGGGATGTTCCTAAATTTTGATTCCCGGGTAATTTGGGATTATGGGAGGTCCTATTTGCGATTGCCGGTTTTCAGGAGGGTTAATTGTGTTTAATTCGTCTTCGGTATGGCTCGGGAGTTGAAAGTTTTAGACTATTTATTCAAGTTCATAGGACATGTGTTCACCGTGGGTCCGTGAGCGCTGGCAAATATGTCACCAATATGTTACGTAGAAAGGGGCTTAATGATTAATTAAAACTCCCTTAAATACCTTCAAGAATTATAAAAACACTATCTACTTCCCTTTAAGACACTAGAAGGCAGGAGAAGTAGAAAAAGATCATCGGTACCTATTTGTCAGTGGAAGTGGATATTTTCCCGTGTTAATCCCAAACAATGGCGAAAGGGGACATGTGAATGCCGCTCAGGTGGAGAAAAACTCTTGCGTTGGAGTTAGAGGGATAAATTTTCTGTCTATCCACACAGGTTAGTGTATTCTGTTACTTCTGTAGGTGCTGTTTACTGGGTGAATGTCCTTACATTTGAGGAGGAATGGCCAGGAACGGGTTCTTTATGGTGGCATCTTACAAGATTCAAACTTCCCTCGTTTGGTCTGAAGGGTCGACATTTAGCAGGGATTTTGCCAAGATGCAAATGGAGTTATGAAAAAGTACATGTATAATTTAGAGCATCACGAGGAGTTGAATGATGGTCCAGAAAGCCCGATATGCTTTTGGAGTTTTGATTCAGTAATGGTAGTGTACGGGAAAAAGTACGAATGTTGACATCATGTGCAGATTGTTTACTTTCCATTGATTGTGGTTTCGTTATTTACGTTTCCACTTTCCCATAATTTGGGTGGGTGCTTGCCTCTGCTCTATGACTAGTCTGGCAGCCCCAAACCAGGGTCAGCACAGAGGCCATAAGTATAATCAGGGGTCAGTAAGATGGAATTCAAAGTTTATGGAAATTGGCTTCAGATGAATGAAGTTTCGGCTTAATCTCAGAGAGTTCCTTTTGTAAACTTTTACGTGGTATGATGATTGTTTCACTCTTACATCTAATTGATGGAATATGATAGAGCAAAATATTCAGAGACCTTTTGTCTTAAGTTAATGTACTTGTCCAGACTAATAAAGTAATACTTGATTTATTAGTCAAATAAAACAAATAATGCAATCATAACCAAGGCCTACCATACCTCTTGTAAGAAAGGGTCATGACAAGAATGTGTATGGGATTGACCTCTGTTAGTCAGTTGTCAAGATCCTGTCATCTTATACATAAGAAAGGCTTCTTGGTCCTTGCCAAAACATCAGTGATATGCTGGTTACAGTAGGCACTTGGCTGTATCTATCATCAGTTATACAATAGATTCATTTATGACAGGCATATGGTTTAGAAGAAAAGTGACTTTGAATGCATTTGTCTCTAGATTTCATTTTAGTTTTGTTGTATTATACAAATGCGCAGAGATAAAATTTTACACTTCTCCTAAGGGAACTCGCAAAAGTTATTGCTATCAAGAGCTTGGACAGAATGGCTTATCCAAGCAGTTGCTTGAACAAGTTTTTTGTTCTTTGTCCTGTAGTAGTAATCTTGATCTTTGTATGAGGAGAGTAATAAATAGAATAAAGGGTCTGAAAAGCAAAATTAGAGTATAACATAAGACTGCAGGTTATGGTAATATTTGAACCTAGGGCAACATCTGGCCAAAATGATAAGCCCCACATTGGCCTGGTTTCCTTTTCATTGACACTATGGTAGAAGCCAACAAACCTGTGCTACATATGTTTAGGGAGAATGAGTTGGTTTGATTTCTTATTTGACAGCATATCACCAGAGTGGACTCTAAACTCAGTCTTAACAAAATATAAATGTGCAATCTCATTCCTTAAAAGTGGAGCTAAGCACTCTAATGTAGATATTACTATTTACATAATGTTTGTTTAATATTTCTTCCTTTCTCACTGAGCTATAGCTACAAAAGAGGAATTTAAAAATGTTCTAAAAATAGGAAATCATTAAAGGGAAGGGAAGCAAACTACTACAAGGGTTTATTTCCACCACTTTAGTTTGCTAGCTCAACCCTTTGGTTAGATAATATTAGTTTGGGCCAGGCAAGTTGATTTTGTTTGAGAAAGGGGTAAAGCTAAGTAAATGGTGGCCAAGAGGTAACTGTGGTGGTTGGATTCTAAATCAAGTGATTCATAAAACACTCACTCACTCACTCACTCACTCACTCACTCACTCACTCACTCACTCACTCACTCACTCTCACTCACTCTCTCACTCTCTCATTCTCTCTCTCTCACTCTCCTCACTCTCACTCTCTCACTCTCTCACTCTCTCACTCTCTCTCTCTCTCTCTCTCTCTCTCTCTCTCTCTCTCTCTCTCTCTCTCTCTCCTCTCTCTCTTCTCTCTCTCTCTCTCTCTCTCTCTCTCTCTCTCTCTCTCTCTCTCTCTCTCTCTCTCTTCTCTCTCTCTCTCTCTCTCTATGTACACATAAAACACACACATACTACATATACACTCTTATACTCATACACATACACACTCATCACACACCCATGCACTCATACACACATCTCATACACTCATACACTCACTCATATGCACACAC